GAAGCCGAAAAATAAATTGCCTTCTGGTTGCAAATCTTCTAAAACCACTTTTTCTCTCTTCTCTAGGGAAGTCACTCAAGCTGTGGCCATCTTACAACTCCAAGGACAGCATTCCTTATTGGGAAAAGTTGCACAACCACTGCTGGTTGGAGAGAGAACATCTTTGACGTGCTCTCAACCTCTCATTTAAAGATGTCTGGAGAATTTCCATCAATGGTTATTTCTAAAGAGAGAATTGAAGTTTAAACTCAAAGATTAATTTTCTTTTTATTTTTAACAGAAAAAACCCGCAACCTACGGGGGGGTAGGGGGTGGGGGGAGAGGATGTTATTCTGTTGAGAAGTCAAATATCTGAAAACTGATACGTTTTGGCCCCAAATAGTTCAATTCAAATACCCCACAACATTATTTCATGGAAATTGGTAACTTTTCTCAGGTTGTTCTTTTCTTCAGAAAGAGGTGATTCACATTCTCTGTAAAGTGGTAAATTGCAGTACATGGAGTAAGATCGGTAATCTCATCTAGGTTCCCTTTCCTATGAAAGGTTGGACCAGATGATCTTCTGAGGTCCCTTCCAACCTGGGCTGTTTTATGATGCCAGTAAAACCGGACAGACAGACTTATCAAAGACCAGAGAATCATAAGGCACTGTGGCAGTGCTCCCAAATTTAAACGTTTCAGATTTTGGCTGGAATATTTTGTTTTCATTTATATTCTATTTTTTCTGGTTCTTAAATCCATTTTTTTTTTTTTCTGTGGGAAATGTCTTGATGAGCTCTGTTCTCTTTGAAGATGATCCCAGTCCATCTCTCAGGAGAAACTTATCATACCCTGGTGATCAAGAGAATTTTAGAAAATTCACAGCTAGTCCAGCCTCTCATGTAAGACCCTAGGGTGACTCTGGAATAGCTTTTCGGCACTGAGATCTGCTGCTAACATCTGTTGTGAGCATGACTGAAAAACTGAAGAGTGCTCCCCTCCACCCCCTGCCCTTCAAAACCTATTAATAGGAAGAGGGATTTTTGGTCAGAGTTTTTTTTTGCAGCTGCTGGGACTCCAGGGATCCTCATGGAAGAGATGAATGGGGGATTTAGGGCAAGATTAGCTGCATTGATTTGGCTGTTTGCAGAAGGATTTACAGGGCATTGGAGTGTCTTTAATCCATGGAATTGATCCAAGACATCCACCCAGCAGTGGTTAGCCAGCCCTGCAGGTACTTAAAACTCATAAGGTACCTCCCTGTTTTGCCCTGACATTGTATATTTTAATAAAGATAAGCATACATATGCGCAGTGGTCACATAGATGGGGCTATGGCTGGCCATCTGTAGTACGTTGTGATGAAAAAGCAGAGTGAAGAACCACGTGAAGCTGTGAGAAAGGGCTGATCTGTTAGGGTATTTTGGTCATTGATGGGTCTGCACAAATAAACTGAACAGAAGCCAGGAAGGAATGTGCCATGGGTCTAGAAGAGGAACAGACAGGTAGGAGACTGAACAAAATCCCAAAGTATTTAACTGGGATTTTTTTGGCATTGCCAGAAGCCTCCCCTCCAAGCAGAATTCACAATTTACAAGAAGTCGCAGGATACTGCAACCATTTTGATTTTGACAGAAGTGCAAAGGATTTTTTCAGTGACCTGAGCCAAGCCAGCTGTATTGTGAATATACTTTGTCATGAATATATAAAAAAACATACTGTGAAGTATGGCTACTGAACTGTGGCTGAGAATCAGACTGAGGTGAGCTTTCAGCCATCTTTCTGGATCATCTTTGCTATTATTTCTCTAATGTCTTTTTATTAGAGAACAGCTTGGGGGGATGGGGGGGGGGGGGGGGGCACACGACACACCAACCTACCAACAAACCCCACAACCATGGCTGATTTGTGGAATTTGGACGAGAAAGTGCAATATGACTCTCCTCCTTATTATGGTCTGTTCTTATCTCACAGAGGTGGAGGTGACAAGATCCCAAGCTGCTGTTGAGCTGCTGCTGGCATCTTAGCCGCCTGCTATTTTCCAGTGCTGTTTTCAGTTCAGGAATAAGACCTGGGGGCTTTTTCTGAAATGTTGTGTAAAACACACTCATGTGCTTAGGTTGGTGCCTGCTCAGATGCTCTCCTTGTGGTTACAGCTGCTCCCAGAGCTCATGCTAATTTGCACTGCAGTTTTGCTGCTTTGAATTAGCGGAACCCAGAATTTCCTGGGCCTGTGCTGGCTCCCGCGATGTCAATTGGGAAGGCTGTAATGGGGGATCATGGTGCAATGACTCCCTGGTACTTCTTTGGGTCTGTAGAAATGTCCTACAATTCTCCAGCCACAGCCCATTTCAGTGCAGAAATCAACGCAGCGAAACTTTTTACAGGGCTTGAAAAGAACGCATGATTTCTGTTATTTCTTTGCAGAAATATCTACAGCTTGCAAAGTTTACAGGGATTGCTGATTCTGATCAGCAGGCACATGAGACACTTCCTACACTTAATTCTCGTTTGCCCTGGACAGAAAATGGACAAATGAGAAATAGAAACCTGCAGAAAAACCTCTACTCCAGGGCTTTGCCATATGAAGGAAAACTCAAAAGATGGAATTCAGCCCAGGTAGGGCTCATCTCACTTAATGTAGGTGTCTACAATGTAAATATCTCTATGTGAACTGCGTGGCTCTGCTCTCATCACAGCCAACAGAGATCCAGTCCATATATTCAGTGTGAGGGATTGCTTTCAACTGTAGACATCAATGGCTTCACTTGGTTGCTTAAATGCAAGTATCTGGTGTCATTTGAGATGTCTCTGCCCACAATGGCCTCTCCAGAACTGTATGGGTGTCCTGTAGTTTAATTAGGAGATGGGATTCATTTGCCTGTGTAAGAGTTTCCAGAGCCATTTCTGATCCCCTGAGGTGTGTATGGAACTGGCAGGTATGCAGTTACGGCACGGGCCCTTCTGCAACAGCAGCTGATGGGCGGGTGGGATCATCTAGTGCATCTCTGTGGCATCTCCAATGCAAACGAATCCCACCCTATAACCCAGGGATCAAACCTAAGTTTCTACCTTAGGGAAGCTGAACTGCTCCCCTGGCTGCACTGATTACAGTGAGTAGATCCATACGTTGGTAAGTTGCTGTTGGAAACTTCTTCCCCAGGTGAACATGCAAACATGTGGATTGGGACTGGTGGGCTCCATCAGAGTGGATCTATGGCTGTGGTGAACTGAAGAGGACTAGAGTCTGGTCTGGCCAGAGTGAAGCACCGAAAGGGTTGTCAGGCTCTGGAATGGGCTGCCCAGGGAGGTGGTAGAGTCCTCCTCCCTGGAGGTATTTAAAAGAAGGACAGATGAGGTGCTTAGGGACAGGGTTTAGTGGTGGGATGGCAGGGTTAGGTTAAAGGTTGGACTCAATGATCTCAAAGGTCTTTTCCAACCAAAGTGATTCTATGATTCTATAAGCAGGCAGATCTCTGCACCACTTCTCATGGAGACACATCCCTTCTCTACTACCAGCTCTGTGGGGGGGACCAGAACCAAGTTTCCTGGAAGGTGACAGGCTGCAGGGAAAGAACCAATTCTCCAGGTTGCAATTTCTCTCCTGAAATACTGAAAAAACAAAATACCTCACCCGCTTGGTCAGGAACAGCTCATGGCTCCTGTTATAGACAATGTTCCCAAAGTGTCCTCTTTGATTAGAGGAGTGAGCTTTGATTCCCATTATCCAAAAAGCACAAATTACCATTGCTGCGGTAATCACGCTATTGTAGTGGTGCATTTGTTACTAATACTGTGGCATTGCCTTTCTGGAATCAGAAAGCAGGCGCTGATTCAGGTAGGATGTTGACCTGCATGCTGTGGTGTACAGACACAAAGCTCAGCCCTTCTCCAGTGCCCCCCCACCCCAGGTTCTCCAGGAGCCCCAACCATTTTCACTTGCTGAAGCCATGGTGGAGAAAGCAGCTTTTTTTTTAAATGCCAGCAGAGATCCCCTTTTCAAATACTTTGTGTTTTGATGGGTGGTTGTCTTGTTACAGGGCACGATGGTTTTTTGGAAAAAAAAAAACCCAAACATCTAGGCAATGTGGAAGGGGCCGTGTCTCAGGGGGTGACCTCCTGATTTAGAAAAGCGCCATAAGCAAATGCAGATCTGAAAATTGTTAACTCCGTTCTGCTTTGAAGGGGGGTTATTTAAATCAAAGTAAGGCTGGGATTAGAAAAGCTTCAAGTGGATACCCTTATCTTAGCTGTTTTCATAGGAATTTGGCGTTCAAGTCCCTAAAAGGGTCTGGAAAATCTCAGCCATGAGGATGTACTTACAGACACCCAGTGCTGTCACAGGCTCTGCGTGTGTGTGGTTTTGATGCACTCTGCTATAAGCAATACTTGCTTCTTTGCACCTTCCCAGGAGAAGACCGGTGTGTGACTTGAGGCATCAAATCTCCCCTGCGCCAGCTGACATGTTGATGGTCAACCTCCCGTATAGCTCCATCCTCCTGTCTAAATATAAATCTGTGCTTGTCTTTTAATGAACTGCAGCTCAACAAAGGCCAGGGGTGCCGTCCAGCCTGAGGGAGAGACACTCTGCAGCAAGGGAGCCGGGAAGGTAAGTGTCAGTGTGGCTTTGGGGAGGATAAAACCCATCGGTGGGGCCTGGGTCGTAACCCAACCTCCCCCTTGTACATGCCTGCACACGCACACCAAAAATGTTTGACCCAGCGCCAGCCTCAGCCCTAAAACCCCCAAACTCTCTTTCCATTTAAGCGCTAATTCGTAACAATGCCATATCCGATGGCTCGAAAATAGCCGGGTAGATGTCTTGTCCTTTTATAGCAGTGGCCCTATTGTAAGCTCTGGCATGTGACAGGTCTGAGAGTGACACAATGTGTGACTTCAAGAGGCTGGACAGGGATAAAGACCTGTGTTTGGTGGTGATTTGCCCTGCAGCAGCCACCTCTTTTCTGTCTGTCTGTCTGTCTCCTTCTCTCCCTTTCTAAAGCAGCCCACCAGCAAACCAACATGGCTCCAAAGAAGCCCGAACCCAAGAAGGCCGAACCTAAGAAGGAAGAACCCAAACCAGCACCTAAACCAGCAGAACCAGAACCCAAAAAAGAAGTTGAATTTAACCCAGCTTCTATCAAAGTACGTATCTTTTAACCTGGCATGGGAGGAAGCAAACTGGTGGGGCTTGGGTTGGTGGTGGTTCTGCTGGTGGTGTATTCAATGCTGCAAGATGACATTCTCCAAAAGTAGCTCTTGGTTTTGAGCAGAAAGTGAGCAGCAAAGGTAATTGCCACAGAGTGGGAGCAAAGTCACTGGGGGCTCTGCTAAACAAAGCTAAAAGCTGAATCTTATTTTATCTGAGGATGTTCAGACCTTTCTGTCCCGTCTTATTCTCAAAGTAGCAAATTCAATTGCATGCAAGCTTCACTGATCTCAGTGGGAAACTAATTGCTCCTCTGCTGGCAATATTGCAGGTAGATGCCAGGAAGGCTTGACTGTACTCAGGGCTGACCACTGACTAACCAACGGCCAAGGCTAGATTGTAGGCTTGGAGTGGGCTTGGAGCATGGGTTGAATTCACTTCTCTCTGCCTGGAATGCATCACTTTGGTAGACATCACCAGCCTGGGACTTCCTTAAAGTGAGCCAGTGACACCTCTGGTGGTTTTCCAGAAAAGCCCACTGAATGGCAAAGGAACTGTGTGCTTCTGTGTATATTTTGGAAGGCAGAAAGAAACTTGGGCAAAAATCCAGATTTCCTGAATGACCTGCTGCTTTCAGGTTCTGCCTCAAGGGCATGAGCCTTCTCCTCCTCCTTCTCCTTTAGAGAAGTCTCTGCTGGAAAGAGTCACTGCTGATCTCAGCAGGGTTTGCTGAAGTCTTGCTTCAATGTAAGAACAAGATTATGTTTCCAAAGCCATTTCAGAAATAGGTTTTGAGACAATTTGGGGTCACTGCTCTAATTCTCGAGCTGCCTACCTGGTATCACATTGCCCTTTCAGTGAAGCACCCCATTGACAGGGAACTGCTAATGTTTAGGAAACACTCAAGGTTTTAAAGACATGAAGTAGGTAATTCCAGTGAAATGATGCTGGAGATCTGTTTCCCTTCCAAACATTGTTTTTTTTTTTTTTTTTTTTTTTTCCATGGGAACTGGCCCTTCAGCAGATATCTGAAAGTGACTCTTATTTCAAGAGAAATTTCTCTCAGAGAATGATAAGGAGAAAAAAATTATATATTCCTATGGAAATGACTGGACTATCAAAGAGTGACCTCTTGACTTATAAAAATGCAGTAAGCAAATCAAGATCTAAAATTACTAGTTCCCCTTTGCTCCTTCTGCACCACGCACATTCACAGGCAATGCCAGAGACCCCTGCATGCAAGTTTAGGAACAGTTTTTCCATATTGTTTGCACAGTAAATATGCCATGATGGATAGACATGGCACGACACAGCAGGATTTCGTGCAAGGCATAGTCCTTTGGGAATCGCCCTTTGGGAAAAGGCATTGCCCTTGGGGAAAAGAAGAGGAGCTTTGCAGCATCTCACAGGTTTCTTTCTCATGGGGATTTGGCCCAGACAAGGATTGGGTGTAAATCAGCATTATTTTGTTGATTAGACTAAAGCAGCCAGATTCTTTCCTGTTTCTTGCAAGAAAGTGACCAACCGACAGGAGAGTCCTGGTGATCACCTTAAGGTGAACCACAGGACATGAGACAAAACTAGAGAATGCCAAAGAGGAAAATGGACAGAGCTCCACTGCCATCCATGGCACCAGCTCCTCAGAGCCGAGGGGAGGGATGAATGTCTCTGGGACCTTCTCTTGTTAGCCCAAAAAGTAGTTTCCCCCTCCGAAAAACACAGAAACTATGTGAGAAAAGGAATAAGTTACTCTGCCTCTTCGGCGTGCCTCCTGAGCACACCCCAACGTGTCTCATGGGTGGCTTTTTAACCACGAGCTGCTGAAACTGCCTGCTTCTGCCACGTGGGACTGACTCCTGCAGTTGGGGATTGCTAACAAAGGAAGCACTGAAAGTGGGTTTGTTCTTCCTTGAATCATGAAGACCTTGAAAACCCTTCAGTTTAAATACTGGTGGAAAAAAAAAAGTAATTATTTGTAATTATATCAAGAAGTCAGATTACAAGGAATTTGGTTTGGGGCTACTTTTTAGAATAATGACACCAGAGTTAGTGCTGTGCCCTGAGAGAAGGACACTTCCACCGTGACCTTGGGCGGGTGGTACGTGGTGGGATCCAGCACTCTGCTAACATCTCTGTGGGGAACATTCCTGCACTGTAAAAGGAGGAGGGGGCAATTGCAGTAACTTCTCTCAGAGGGCACAGATACCTTCAGCCAGGATGCCATGACATTGTCACAATATTCAGCTGGGATACTATGACATTGTGGTATGAAGGGCAGCTAAGTCCAGTAGAGAGATGAGTTGTAATTAAAAAAACAAAAAGAAAAAAACCCAATCAAATTGATATCTCTCAAAAATAGTCATGCATCTTTGCAATCACCACAATTTCAGAATAACCAAATACATTTTCATCCAAAACGGATTTGAAACCAATTAATTCCTGCATTTTTTAAAAACTTACTCACTCTGCATGCTTATTCATGCAATTTCTTATTTTTTCCCTGCAGCGCAATTTGTAATTATGGACTCGTATCCTCTTTTTTGAAGTGCTAAAAAATATGTATTGAGTTCCTAAAAAATAATTAAATCCAGTACTCCCGTGATAACATCTCTTCATCTTTGCAAAGACTATTCCATTATTTGTATATACAAAATTGGACTAGGGAAAGCATTGGTAGATGCATGGTTTGGGGCTGGTTTTTTGGTTTGTTTTTTTTTTTTTTTTTTCCAAGACTTGTAGCAAGAGGAGATATTCTCTAAGGAAGTTTTCCTGGGAATTTTTCAATTAAATGTTTTTCATCAAAAACGCTTTTGTCAAAATTGAAGCTATTTGTGCACAAGGGCTGGGTCTGGCAAAAATACGGCTTCCTGTTCCCTAAACCTAGCTCTGGTGGAGCTCAGGCCATCTGGTGTAGATCAGAATACCTCCCTAGATCATTGTACAACATTTGAAAAAAATGCTTTAATGAGTTTTGAAATTCTCCAAACATCCCATTTCTGCATTCCAGGGTGAAACTGGTTCTTGTTTTCATGCTGAAGATGATCTATAGTTTAAAAAAGGAGAGGAAAACAAACTTGTATCGAAACAAAATGTTAAAAATTATCAAAATGCATCTTTCAATGGGAATGTCTCAAATTATCAATATTTATCCTCAGACCTTATTGCACAATTTTGCATTTGGAATTTTTAACTTTTTTTGTTTAGACACTAAAAAGTCTCAGAACTCTTTCTGTGGAAAAGAAAAGTACTTCTTGTTTCAATTTTCCTGACTCTTATAATCTGCTGCCATGATAATGCTCTAAGAGCCTTATTTTGCACTCCAGACTCATATTAGGTTTTCCCAGTGTCTTTCTCTTGCTGCTTCATGGTCTCAATCTGTATTGGGGTGTCAGTTATGGTGGCCTAAATGTGAGGTGCATCTCCTTAAATAAATGCGGTGATTCTAAAGTTTTAATGTTACTCACATGCATTCCCATAGAATTTGACCCAATATTTAGAAATTTTCCAAGTAGATCGGTGCAGGTGAATGTTGTTTGCAACTCATAGACAAGTGGGTTTGGGGGGGGGGTTTGTGCATTTGTGTTTCTGTAACAGTTTGGCTGAGTCCATGACAAGTCTTTCTTTAAAAAGTGTTTCTCTAGAATGGACCCTGCAGCTCATTACTTTGGGGAACAGATTGTCCTGAAGAGATTTTGGAGCAAGAAGATTGTCTTTTCCGTATATCTAATTCTTTTCCACCTGAATGCCGTCTTTTAGCGCGGGGGGGGACGACATATTTTCCCAGAAATATATTCTGCTCTCTTGAAAAAATAGTCAGGTTGGTGCAAAACAGGATTCATCTTTTATTATTATGGATGCAGAAAGTGGGACTGGCTCATCTAGCATTAAGCATTGGAAAGGTGATCATTGATCTTAAACAAATCATCTATAAGCAGCGGAGAGAAACTCTCTAGAGGTTTATCTCTTGCAGCAGTGCTGAACGCCTATGTTGGGGTGGATCGACTCACCCCGGGGAGATGATGATCTGTTGATAAAGGGAGATGAGACGGGTATTTGGGTGCCAACATTTCAGCAGCTAAAGTTAGCTGAGATGACGTGTGCTCAAAGCCCAGTGAGTCCTGGGTACAGAAAGGCCACAGAGAGACAGCTGGCGTATATGAGGACCTGGAAGGGACACGGCTTACCATATACAGTTATCCTTAATAACCACATTTTCCCGTGTCATCACTTGATATGCTTATTGTAGCAGCGTGCAGTAATGCAGGTGCCTGGGGAAAAAACAGTCATGGTTTATTTTTGTGGAGTGCTGTGATCTAGAAGCCATGTGAAACCTGTTCTCCTTGAACAGCCCCGCAGGCTCCAGAACATCTGCAGGGATACTGAAAAATAAAAGCTTCTTCCCTTTTTCTGCAAGAAAAGCTGTAAGGGCACCTGGGATGGGAGCAGCCACGAGGGAAATGCGCAGGCATCGTGCAGCACCAGTAATGATGAGACCCTGCCGGACTTGTCTGCTGGGCTCCAAAGCACCGAGCGTGCCGCAGTGCGATGGTGGGGTGGCAGGCAGGCGGACGTGCAGGGGTGCACGTGCGAGCCTCCGCCGCGGCGTGAAGCGGGGCTGAGCAGAGGTCAGGGGGGCTGCAGGCTGGGGAAACGTCTCTTTGGGGGAGATGGATTGGTTTTCAAGGAGAGAAATCCCATTTCAACAACAAATGCCCTGCTAGGTGAGATTGTTAGAGCAGTTTTGGTGCCTCGCTGAAGAATTTATTCCGGGCTGAAGTGACTGAAATGGCTATTTCAGAGTGAGCTTCAACATGGGAGAAATGTAAATGAATTAATGAGAGGGCTGAGATGGGGGAATGAAAAAGCAGGAGTTACTCTGTGGATAAAAAGGATTTTGTTTGTTGGGTAAATGTGTTGCATTAGTGTGCGTGAGAGAAAAAAAGTGCTCTATTAAACACGTGGCTGTAGTAAAGAAATTCTGTTTATAAATGTGTGT